GGAGATGAGTAGAAGGAAGAGAGAAGACAGATGTGTGGATGAGAAAGAGAGAAGAACGTAAGGATGAGGACTGCAAAGGGAGAGATATGAAGAAGGATTTAGATAAAGTGAAAAACAATTGCGTGACACGGGGCTAGGCTGAAGGAAACCGCATTGCGGGAATGAGGAAAGGAAGAAGTGGAATGGAGAGAAAGTTGAGAGAATGATCTGTGACTGGATGGCGAGGGACATAATTCGCTGGGTATGGGGAAGAACGGTGAAAAGTGGTTGAGTGGGAATAAGGATATGTTCACACGTTCTTTTAACTTCTTTACCTGAAGAAAAGTCATTACTTTTATCGGGTTGACGGTTCAAAATTTAGACGTATGCTCGTTGCATGAATATTGGCTCGCCTCTTTGGCTATGGCGATTGAGGTCAACATGACCGACTATTTTGGTTTTACTGTATATGTGATTTCTTAATTTATGATATATTTTGCGCCACACAATGGAACATAAAAACGACATAAAGGTATTTGTGACGTCATAGCTATAGCAGCACCGGAAACGCGAGATTACTCTTGGTACATAATAGGCTTACCGGGTTTTAGTCGTCGATTAAAAATGATTTTTTTGTTAAAAGAGACATGTAATGTGCCTCGGGAACACACATTTGTACCTGAATATTGTGATCATTTTGGTCTTCAAAGATCCTGAAGGACCCCAGTAGCACAGCCAAAAACTGTAGCTACATGTTTGTCTTGGATTTTTGTATCATTGTTATAGCAAAAGCTTTGATTTCTGAACCGAATACTTTGCAAGTTTGTTATAATACAAGTGTAACGGAGCTAGACAGGGTTGATCGTCAGCGACCAAGGAGCTCAATTGGTTTAGTGTCCGTCTAGAGTAGGAGGGTCGCGTGTTCGAACCCCAGTCTGGCCGTGGTTTCTTCCGCTCCTTTTACATTTGGTGCCTGCAGTGACAAACCCTTTTTTCAAATACAAGGTCAATACTTGACATGGGATACCCAATCCTGGGTTATAAATAGAAATGTATTAGGGTTCGAAGAATTTGTTAGAGGGAGGAATGTACTGGGACTAGACTGGGTCGATCGTCGACGACGACCAGGTAGCCTATTTGGTAGAGCTTCCGTCTAGATAGGAGGGTCCCGGGTTCAAACCTCGATCTGGCCGTTCCGCTCCTTTTACACAAGATACGGTAGACTTTTATTTAGCGTCACATGTTTAAAACTGTAATCATTAGCACTGAAGTGCTATTCTTGTGCCCAACATAAGTAACAATTAACAAGAATAAGCATGCATGATGTTATTAAAAAGCACATTAGTATTGTTTTTACAAAGTAAATAGCTAAGATTCATGTGTTCTTACTTTGCAAACCAGCAGCCACGTTAAACTGTATGGTGCACTGGCCATTGTAGATACATACACCATTTTACTATGCATATTATACCTTTGTCAGTATGCAGTTGTGGAAATTAGTTTTCCCTCTTACATTCTTGCTTCATTTTGTGATCTTCATCTTTGTTTCCTTGCTTGGAATGACATTTGTGTTCGTTTCTTATTCTCATTGTTTAATTATTTTGATTACATAATATACCACATTTTTCCCCTCTCTTTATTACTTTTTTTTCTGTCTCTTTTTCTTTCTTTCGTTTTCGTTGTCCTCCTCATTTTCTACCCTTCTTCTTTCTGTCAACTGTCACACCTAACTATTTTTTCCCCACGGCGACCTGTTCTTAACTGTTAGTAAAATTTTCTTTTGAGAAAATACTGTGAAGTTGACTTGTATGTTTAGGTCACCTGATCATAGGTCATGGTTTCCTATTTTCATCCGTCTTCACCTGTCGTCGTGCACTGTGCGCCATGCGTCGTACATCGTGAGTTAACTTTAATCTTGTGAGCACGATAACTTGAGTAAAAGTCAATGGATTTCAATAAATTTTGCTATGCTGCTTTATATCAATAGGAAATTTTAATTACTGTTGGTGCCTATGGGACTTAGGCTTGTGAGCACGAAAACTTTAGGAAATGGATTCGGTATTTTTTTCTTTTCTGCTCTATATTAATAAGATCTGGGACGAGGTTTGAAAGTGGTCTTGATCAACTGGCAGAGTTATATAAATATAAATATAATAAGTAGTGGAGCCTATGGAACTTGAGCTTGTGAGCACGATAACATTAGTAAAAAGTAAATTTGATCTCGGAAAAATTTGAAAATAGTCTTGATCAGACAGTTACTTGCAGAGTTATGGGACTTTGACATTTTTAATTACTATTGGAGCCAATGGGATTGAGTTTGTGAGCACGATAACTGTAGGAACATTTTGCTATTCTGCTTTATATCAATACTATCCCGGACGTGTTCAAAAATGAGCCGATCAGACAGGAGCTGGAAGAGTTCTGTGACTTTGAAATTTTAGTTACTCTTGGAGCATATGGGACTTGAGCTTGTGAGCACAATAACTTCAGTAAATGAGAATGAATTTCGATAAATTTTGCTTTGCTTCTTTATGTCAATAAGGTCTCGGACACGTTTGTAAATGGGCCCGACCAGACAGTAACTAACACTAGTTACTACAAATCGGAGAATACAAGATGGCCGATCATGGCCTCTGATTTGCTGAAACGAGATATTTTCAACTTTTCATGAGTATCTGCAGCAATTCACTTCTTTATTTGTACAAATATTCCTTATGAGGTTCCGAACAAGTGTTCTTACTTTTATGCCGATCAGAAAATCTGAGGTGGTCACACTGACCTCTCATTGACTGATATTTTGTTTTACTTCTCCTCAAGAAAGGCTACACCGATTGACTTCTACCTTAGTAGAGGTGTTCCTTATAAGATTTCGACCAAGTTTGTTATTTTTAAAACAGATTTCAAAATTCTAGATTCTAATTTACTATGGGCCTCTTGTTCATTAACAGACCGAAGAAGAAGAGATTGGTAGGGCTTTGTTGTCGTAAAAATAAGAAAGGAAACTACCTGCATTCATCAGAAGAAAACAAATTTGTCTGACGTTTTGTACTGCGAGCAAAACAGTCAACAAGACTTGGCCTTGTAGCCACGGTAAATATATATCGAAACATGTCATGTGCTGGTGATTAAGATAAGGTAAGCATATAAATAGCTGTCAACTGTAAGTGAGCTGTCAGTTAGCCATCAGCGGTAAGTAAGCTGTCGGCTGTAAGTAAGCCATCAGCTGTAAGTAAGTGATAAACTGTAAGTAGGTCGTTAGCGGTAAGGAAGTCATCAGGTCTAAGTAAGCCATCAGCTTTAAGTAAGCCGTCAGCTGTAAGTAAGACATCAACTGTAAGTAAGCCATCAGTTGTAAATAAGCCATTAGCTATAACTAGCCATCAACGGTTAGTAAGCCATCAGCTGTAAGTAAGTGATAAGCTGTAAGTAGGTCGTTAGCGGTAAGGAAGTCATCAGCTCTAAGTAAGCCATCAGCTTTAAGTAAACAGTCAGCTGTAAGTACATTGTAAGCCGTCAGCTGTAAGAATGTCATCAACTAAATAAGCCATCAGCTGTAAGTGAGTCATCAGCTGTAAGTAGGTCATCAGCTGTCAGTAAGTCATCAGCTGTCAGTAAGTCATCAACTAAGTAAGCCGTCGTTTGTAAGTAAGCCATCAGCTGTAAGTAAGCCATCAGCTGTAAGTAAGCCGTCGTTTGTAAGTAAGCCATCAGCTTTGAGTAAGCCATCAGCTGTAAGTAAGCCATCAGCTGTAAGTAAGCCGTCGTTTGTAAGTAAGCTGTAAGCTCTGAGTAATACATCAACCGTAAGTACGTCACCAGCTTTAAGTAAGTCATCAACGGGAATCACGAACAAGGCGCATCATTCGAGGTAAGCTAATGTGACGCCGACCTCCATGTTTGGATATTAACTCGCGTACACGAGAAAACTCATCAATTTAAGTTCTCAAATAAAGTTCAACAGAAATATGTGATTTTTTTTATTATTGTGAGAGAGAAATTAAGACAATTCTCTTTCATGGTGTAATTATTTTCAGTATCGTTGCAATTGACTTCAAGAAAACTCATCGAAAAAATGTACAAATGCATGGAATATAGAGTAAAATATGTTTGTGTCTTTTTCCTTACCACTTATTGCATCCCATCTTTATCAGAGATATAAAATGATAATTATATGATCATCGTAAACCTTAGCTACACAACATTGCATGGGCCTGTGTGATAATCCCTAGATTAAAAGTTAAAGCTGGTGTTCCGGAGAATACATTTTTACTTTTCACAATAAAAATTCATTTTTTATCAATTTATTTGTAATAAATCAATTGGAGTTGCATGTTGTCTTTTTGCTTATTTGATATTGGAGAATTTTGTAATTCAGAAAAAAAGCTTCGCATCAACTGTTCGTTTTGTCGATGTTAAACATGTCTCGTGTACGTGAGATGCTGATCTTGTATGTTACGATACATAACAGTTTATTAGCCTTTTATTGGATTTTTAGACTCTATGTTTATTAAACTAATGTATCTATAGTATATTAATTTCATTATGCCTGAATAAGCGAGATATTCTGATGTCAAAAACAAGGCTACGCAATAAAAAAATAAAAAAAAAGCTGTTACATTAGCTGTCAGATTTTTTTATAACACGTCGGAAACACAGACGTGGATGAATAATTAATATCTTTGCTTTGAAATCATTCCTGACAGTGAGCACGCCTCACATATTCTATGAACATGGCTTCACAAAATGCACTTACACTGTTTATACGTGGTCTTTAATCGTGTATTTTAGACCTTGTCAATGCGGCAATCTGAAATAGGTGCTTAGCGTCTCTTTTATATCACAACGTTTTATCATCAAAAAGAATATTCGACACGCAAGATTTAAACTTCAAATTGGAAGAAAATTTCAAATGAACAAATATCTTGAATGCATAGGAATAAGATACTTGTAGTAACCTTTATGTTATTAATTCATCAGGTAACGTGTAACCCATATATTTCAGAGTTATCTCCCTTTGTGATCTTTGAACTCGGAAATACCTAGATCATTACCAGGAACTAAACAGCCGTCGCCAAATCAACATTTACTAAGGTAAACATTTGAGAAAATATGTAGTTTATAACGAAACTTTTGTATTTTATTATTCACCTTTAGTATTCTTTAAGTATTTAGATAAACATAACCCTCTCAACGTCTCCTGTCAGAGTGAGAAAAACTTAGAATGTTGTAACGACAAGACAGTACAGTGAAATGTATATTATAGATGGATACAACGCGGAAGTACCCCGAAATTACCTTATAAAACTTGAACGTAACACATACATGGAAATAACCATTTCGATAACTGTTTTATTAACAACTTTATTAATCGATGTTGCTAATTATCTACATATTGTTTCAACATTTCCTACATATTGTTAAACTTCGTCTTACATATTTAGGAAGTTTTCCCAGAGTTGCTTGCTGTAGCTATGACCTTCTATTCGTAGTCTAAAGACATGCTTGATCACTAGCGTATGTATTCGGAATACCTCGGCAATACTTCCTCCCAACGCTTGTGACCAGGTAAGACATTATTCATTACTGCATACTTCCCACCTCTCACAATGGAAAAGTGTGGGCAATAAATCACTTGCTACCACAGTCCACTGCACACATAATCCCCTTTCAAGGCCAATCATGATTACATGACCATGAAAGGGGGTGTGCCCAGTGGACTGTGGCCACAAATGCTGTAAGAAAGGGGAGATAATCAATCAGTGAGTAACGATGAAGTCAATACAGTAGAGGATACACTTAGTTGACACATTTCAAATAAGGGGAAAAAATGAAAGTTAAAAATGGTAATTTCATGATTGAAAAACACAAACAGATTTCCTTATCACGTGAGAGGATAAGCATTTCCCGGAAAAGTTTATAATCTTAAGGAGCTGTTCCTTTATACAAAATTGCACATTCAAATATACCATTCATTGAAAGAACTGGAATTCCTTAGGGATTGATAAACCCTTACATTGTATATATGAAAATGGTTTCAATATCCTGTACCTTTGCCACATCTTGAAAATTAAACTGAAAATGTAGTCAGAAATTCAACATTGTTTCCCGTATTTTGAACAGACACTCCTTACCTTCCCTGACACTGGACCTGGATAGTAATCCAAAAACACTTGTATCCATTATGAAGGATACACTCAGACTGGGCTATTGAGAATCTTACCTGGTTATGATTAGTACTCACTCACATAGGTACATGTAAATTATCTGCAGTGTAGGGTAGGTAAAAGGATTGTCCAGGTGAACATTTTTTACTCAACTTTTCTGTTTTGTTCCAGTTGGGAAGCATGCAGTAAGCCAGTTATTGCATGACTTCTCGTCACTCGGGACTTATTACACCCTCGCTTCGCTCGGGTGTAATAAATCCCTTGTTACTCGAAAACCATGCAATAACCTTTACTTGTTATACGTGCCGGGTCTATTTATGTGTTACTACACATGCGCGGTATGCGCTGCTCATTCATTGAACTGTGTAATGCCTCACTGCACACGGTAGTTGATTACAGGTAGACTGGCAAGACGTATAGGTAATTTGATAGCATCGTAAACATGTTATTTTTGTAAGGTATGAATAGAAAAACGTTCCAACATGCGAATTTATGATAAAGCAAGATATGCTTCAATTCAAAGGAATATCTTGAATGAATAAAAGAAAGTTAGACACTTAATCAAACATTTCGTAAAAATCTACGCTGGAGTATATTCTGTATGCTTTGTACTTTGTTACAGGCTCGAAGTAAAACACATGGAAGTGATAAAAATTTAATGAAATTAACAGCTGCAATTTAACTCGACATCCGAGATAAAACCTTTTCTACAGTAAGGTTAATGCCACTTTAAAAAGTCATGTGCTACCAATAAATTTCCAGAACAATTCAGGCACTACACCGCCAGATAACAACAACAGTAATCAATGTAAACATTATGAGGTTAATAACGAACCTTTGATATTGCATTATTTATATTTATTATTTGAAAGCATTCATATCAACATCGTCAATTTAAACGTCCAACGTAAATATACAAAAACGAAGAGCGTTATCATGATTTTTGAAAAGCCAAATGAAATGTATTTAGGTAGGCTGAAACAAAGCGTAAGTACATCCGATATTACATGATAAAACTTTGAAATAACGATGTTTGACAACTCTTTCAGTGTTGGGACTCTTCTCAGTTATGCTTGCTGTATCCCATGACCTTCAACTTATATGTCTGATCACAGGCGCTTGTATTAGGAATTTATTATTCCTCGACACTACTCCACTCACTCCTACCGTTTATATAGTTATATAACTGCTACATCTGTCCATTTAACAAATTTAAGGACCCTTCAAATGTACTTAAGATCAAAAGAATCAACAAAAGGGGAATTGAATACACTGTAATAAAACAATAGTTTTAAATAATATTATTCGTTAGAAAATTTAATCTCTTTGCTTTTAATTGCGGAATATCAAACTTAAATTTTACATCAAAATCGCGATTGGAATAAATCAGGACATATTTATAACATTAAACATTGTACGAGTTGCCTCCCATGGAACCTTCCTCACTTTATTCCAATCGATTGGGCTTGTTTCAATTTTACTAAAATAAAGTAGCAATACTCATTGTTTCCAAATCTTACTAGTATCAACAAAATGACAAGTGAGATATGCGTTATCCTAATTGCAAATTAACATGTTATCAAACGTTAATATTACCTGTGTTTAATTTAAACCAAATTATCTGGAATTATTTTATGCTAATTTACATTAAATGTTGAGTGTTTCATGAAAATCTAGAGGTAGATTATTCTAACCAATTACAGGGATCAAGGGAGGGTGTATTTGTATTTATATATGATGGTCCCGAGGGGGCAATACAGCCTGACAAAAAAAGAAGCACTTCTCGTTAGAAGTCAATGCTATTTGAATATGACATTAACATGACGAAACAATTGCAATAATTGTAATATTGGTTAAATTGGTGTTTCTCATAATGGAACTATTCCACAATTTGGAAGGTCTCGGTCAGGGAAATTTAAACATATCAAATTGTGAAATTAAGTTGATCTTTCTCCTAAACGAATATTATTTTCTGTCCATCATTTTTAAGCACGACTGCAAAGATGCTACATTTACTTTCAACATGTCAAGGTCGTCAATTTCAAGGTGAAGGTCAAGGATATGAAACACTTTTGGGATCCCTTTGGCCTGTCTACTAAACAATTATTCTTATTATTTAACACTACTTTCAAGGTGATGGTCAAGTATATTAAAACATTTCAATTTTTGTGACCTCGTTGACCTGTCTACTAAATGCTAATCGTCTGTTATCTATTATGAAATAGAATTGCGTTACGTTTCATGTACAAACACAATTGCATGGCTAGAACTTTCGAGATCAAGGTCGTGGAATAATTTTGAAGCACAACTGCTTCTTTTACTTTTCAAATGTCAAGGTCATCACTTTCAAGGTGAAAGTCAAGGATATTAAAACATTTCAATTTTTGTGATCCCGTTGACCTGTCTACTAAACGCTAATTATCTTGTAATCCGTTATTAAATAGAATTGCTTTACGACCATATACAAACAAAATTGCATGGTCATAACTTTCAGGAGCAAAGTCGTAGATATCACAAAAAGGAAAAGAAAAAAATCCGGATAAGTTTACGGTAAAGAGTTTGGTTTAACATCGTTTACTACACTAGTTTACCATGTTCACATACATGTACTTCTTAACACACCCGCTGATTAAAATGATCACCGATCCACTAAATTGGGGTTTTATATATATAGAGTTATTGACCAGGTAGCTCAGTCGGTTAGATCAACAGTATAGACATTTGAGGTCGTAGCTCAGTCGGTTAGAGCAACAGTATAGACATTTGAGGTCGTAGCTCAGTCGGGTAGAGCAATAGTATAGACATTTTAGGTCGTAGCTCAGTCGGTTAGAGCAACAGTATAGACATTTGAGGTCGTAGCTCAGTCGGTTAGAGCAACAGTATAGACATTTGAGGTCGTAGCTCAGTCGGTTAGAGCAACAGTATAGACATTTGAGGTCGTAGCTCAGTCGGTTAGAGCAACAGTATAGACATTTGAGGTCGTAGCTCAGTCGGTTAGAGCAACAGTATAGACATTTGAGGTCGTAGCTCAGTCGGTTAGAGCAACAGTATAGACATTTGAGGTCGTAGCTCAGTCGGGTAGAGCAACAGTATAGACATTTGAGGTCGTAGCTCAGTCGGTTAGAGCAACAGTATAGACATTTCAGGTCGANGCGACACCATCTGGAATGTAAGAAGTCTCCACGCTCTATTTGAATGCGGTTCGATCATACTCGTCTCTTACTTCTCTATGGGTAGTTAAGCCGGTTCTCTAACCACTACAATTACTGATTTGTGGAATATTCATAACTTCATTATGCCGGTTATCATAAGTTTCATTAATACCCCCAATAACTATTATTGTTGCATTTGTTAAAATTAGCGATACAGTATCACTAAATTATAACGTATGCTTACCTGTGAGTTATTTGTCTTTCTGGAGCTAATAACAATCAGGTGTGAATTTAATAGGCATATTTCTCCAGTGGTCATTCAGTCATTGTGGTCGTAGCTCAGTCGTTAAAGCAACAGTACAGACATTCGTGGTCGTAGCTCAGTCGGTAAGAGTAACAGTATAGACATTTATGATCGTAGCTCAGTCGGTTCGAGCAACAGTATAGACATTTGAGGTCAAAACTCAGCTTATTTCAATGGCAGTTCGCTGGTATATCACGTTGTCTTAACCTAGGGATCTAGAGGGAGTGTCACATTTTTTAATCATATTAGAATATTCCAATCATTAAGCAGACCGACTTTATTCACGTTGATATTTTGGATGTACTTGTTCAAATCTGAAGTGTGAACATTTTATATTTTACAGCAATTACCCGATTAAGTTCCAACATGGCCGAAGCCTACCCTTCACCAGAATACAAGTGTTTGTTGTGCATGAAGCCGTACAACCAGCCGAGGGAGCTACCGTGTAACCACACATTCTGCTGCCCGTGTCTGACGTCATATATCGATAAAGAACATAGGACGGCAGATGAGGACCGTCACTACTTTCCATGTCCAGTCTGTGACAAACCAACTAGCCCACGTGACGTCAACACGGATGTAGACGCCTGGGGGACCTCGTTTCCGATAAACAATCTCTTTATCAACCAGACAACAAAGTCGTCAGATGACCAGAACTGTGAGGCGTGTCGAAGGATAGGAGAATCCAACCATGCTGTTGTCTGGTGCACTGGCTGCACTGAGATGCTCTGTAGAGAGTGCAGAAGTTTTCACGAACGAAACAAAATGACAGCAAAACATCGACTTGTTCCCAACAAAGATCGAGGATTTTGTGATACAACGGTAAACGAAAACTGTCCTAACCACGAAGGACATCCGTTGGAGGTTTACTGTCTTGATCACAGCTCTATGTGTTGTTGTATATGTGTTGCCATTTCACACAAAAACTGCAACCATATCAAACCAATAGATGATGTGATCAAGGCAACCTTTACTGGGCAACCTTCACTCGAGACAGCATGGAAAATTATCAAAGACAAGGCAACGACGATGTTAGAGGACGATGAGTCTGGGATGACCTTACTGAATACCAAAGAAAAGGATGTAATAGTGGATATGACGCGAAAAATACAGCAAGCCAAAGATAAGCTTGATGGTCTCAACACAACGTTTCAGTCGGAACTCGCGGATCAGTGCAAAGTACACAGACAACAGCATTCTGCTCGAATGGAATGTGTCAAGAAATTCCAAACAAATGCAGAAAATTCCAATATTCTAATGACTCGTTTTGACAAGCAATGTACGGATCGACAGCGATTTGTTATGAGAGAGAAAACGAAACAACAGTTATCAGGACATTACCGTCGTATGGATCAAAACACCAAGAGGCAGCCTAACACGTTTGACCTGAAACTCAACATAGTAACTGTTATTGACGAGATAATGAAGATGACAACTATTGGGAAAGTTGACGTGATATCGAAAATATCATCGACCTCACAGAATGCGGATTCACGTGTCGGTACATTGCTCGGGACTCTGATGTCAACACCTTCAGCTACAACATTTTCCGACTCTACTTCAGCCTCCGACCTTGTCGGATCTCCAACTCAAGGACCGGCCACAGTGGATGTGTGGACTGGTTCCGTATCTTGTGTATTCTCGGTCGACAGACGTTCACTGGAAGGAGAAGAAACGTCCTACTTTACAGGAGGAATGTTTACTGATAACGATGAATTACTTGTCACAGATCTCAACAACTGCAGACTCGTGTTGTTTGATGACAAGTATCGCTACAAGAGAGAATACAAAGTTAAAGGAAACCCATTAGATGTAACGCGTGGCCTTAATACTGATGAGATACTTGTTAGTATCGTAAAAAGTGGGTTTATGAGATGTACACTACGGGAGGATCAGCTGACCGTAATGGAAACAATCAGCTGTACAATCTACGTCTATGGAATAGCAGTTCTCGGAGATAACATACTGGTTTGTACTGATCGTAGTGTGGAAGTAATGTCAGCGGATGGAAGAGTAAAAAAGTCAATACAGAAGGAGTTTGAATACGCCACACACATTGCCGCATCTACATCTACGTCAACGTTTTACTGCAGAGATGGTAATGACATCGTGTGTAGACGACTAGACAGCGACGTAGAAGACTACAGATACAGTGACCCTGGTCTGAGGAGTCCTATTGGTATCGGACTGGACCGTGATAACAATGTGTATGTGTGTGGACATGACTCCGGCAATGTTTACATTGTTTCACCTGACGGGTCACGGGGAAAGGTACTAGTTCCCCGTCTATCTAGTATCACCAGTCCATACGGGATAATTGTTCATCCCACCAAACAGGAGTTCGTAGTCACATCAAACGAGGGGGCTACTTCACTTGAGGTGTACAGATTTAGTGACAATGACGGTGTCATTCAATGAACACATTGGTATCATTCTAGCTGGTACGCGTTTGTTGTTACAAGGATAACAACGACCTTAAATGACAGACCGTGTTAGTTCCTTTGAAGTCATTTAATCATTCTTGTTAGATCATGAGATGTTCCCTAAATGATCTTTTGAAGTTCCTGAAAAAAATCATCTTAACTTCATGAAAAGTTCATGTAGCCTTTCTGAAAAGTTCTTGTAAGTTTCAGTGATGTTCCTGAAAAGTTCATGTAGCCTTTCTGAAAAGTTCTTGTAAATTCCAGTGATGTTCCTGAAAAGTTCATGAATATTTTCTGCGTTCTTTCTGTGAAGGAATTACCTATTCCTGGGGTTCAGAGAGCGAAAGTGAGCATAACCCTTGGAGTATCGAGCCCTCGAGGAAACAAATATCGGTCTTCACATATCCACATGTTTTAAGATGTGAAACATGCTAGAAATATGAAAAGACATCTTTATAGTGAGGTTAGCAATAGATGACTATCCGTCTGGTCGCTACAATGCCCATCAACTGTATCACAACGGTAAATGTATTGCTACTCGGAGTAAAGAAGAGCACTTTTAATAATTTTGTTTATTATGAAGTAGGAAGGTTACCATTGTCTGTGTGTAGAATACTGAAAATTATTCAATATTGGTTAAAATTAAAAACTTCGAATAATCGCATTTCAAAAACATGTTACGAGGAATGAATTTCGTCTAATGATAATTGGATTTTAGATATCCGCACTGAACTAAACAAAATGGGATTAACTTACCTTTGGGAGAATGTTAGCAATGATAAAAATATATATACAATCATTGAGCAAAGACATTTCGATATTTACCGACAGGAAATATTAACAAATATAAAAACAACTCTGAAAGGTTTCCTTTATTGATAGTTAATTTTTTTTCTGCAGCCATAATTAAGAAAATCAATTAAAAACTCATATAAAAAGACTATAGCTCGATTTAGACTGAGCTCGCTTAATTTAAATATTGAACAGGGAAGATATAGAAACCTTCATAAAGATCAAAGATTTTGTAACCAATGTAATTCAAATGACATTGAAGATGAATTTCATTCTATATTAAAGTGTAGCGTTAATAACGACTTAAGACGCGCGTTTATTAAGCCTTATTATTTCAAACGATCATCGTATTTTCTATGTTGTAATCTGGAAGTTAATATCACTGTCACTAACGTCGGGTTATCATCGTAATTACTACACTATGGCAGTGTATTTTATTGTTCTTTGCTGTTCAACTAGATTGTATTTATTCGTGACATACGATTCGTCTGTGAGAAACAATGTATGTAACTGTATTAAAACTTTTTTATCATTACCTATAACGTACGGCATTGAAGGATATCATAATATTATTATCATTGTAATATACTATGTTGTTATGATATCACTGTATCATATAATCATACCCTACGGTTTTGGTGTATTCAAGTGTAATATGCTGTCTCTTATCATGTATGTCATTCCAANTTTTATGATGTATGTCATTCCAATGGAATGTGTTGTCCCTTATGATGATTGTCATTCCAGTGTAATATGATGTATCTTATGATGTATGTCATTCTAGTGTAATATGCTGTCCCTTATGATGTATGTCATTCCAGTGGAATTTGCTGTATGTCATTCCAGTGTAATATACTGTCTCTTATGATGTATGTCATTCCAGTGAAATATGCTGTCTCTTATGATGTATGTCATTCCAGTGGAATTTGCTGTCTCTTATTATGTATGTCGTTCCAGTGGAATATGCTGTCTCTTATGATTTATGTCATTCCAGTGTAATATGCTGTCTCTTATGATGTATGTCATTCCAGTGGAATATGATGTCTCTTATGATGTATGTCATTCCAGTGTAATATGCTGTCTCTGATGATGTATGTCATTCTAGTGTAATATGCTGTCCCTTATGATGTATGTCGTTCCAGTGGAATATGCTGTCTCTTATGCTGTCTCTTATGATGTATGTCATTCCAGTGTAATATGCTGTC